CTGCTGAGCTCCAGTTCATTTGCAAATTTGACACCATCAGATCAGGATTAAACAAAAACTGTGAATGGCTATCCAACTACAGAAGCAGTTTCTCCTCCCTTGGTGTTCACAGCTCAACTGCTAGCAGAGCACCTCACCCTCCCTGAGTGAACTAACCTCGTTATCTCCATACTGATTTATACCTGCCTCTGGAGATTCCATTACTTGCATCTGAAGAAGTGAGGTTCTTACCCACGAAAGCTTATGCTCCCAATACTTCCGTTAGTCTTAAAGGTGCCACAGGACCCTCTGTTGCTTTTTAGAGAAGATTAAGGCTATTTTCCAACTCAGCTGATAAAACAAACATCCCATTACACCTACACCCTTTGCCACACACGCCTCATAAAAACAACATAGGTGTGTTCTACAAGTACATTCTGTTGTAAGAGTATAAGTGCATGATATGAAACAGAACTGAGCTTGGAGACCATTTGAGTCCAGCATATAGGAAAAGTCACAAAACGGTAATTTTCAGTAATATGTATATGAATCCTATGTGTGCCTCAGTTTCCCTCTGTACTTTGCACTGCTACCCACTGGGGGTAAAAGCCTTGTGTCTCCTCTTGACGAAGAACAGTAGGCACGAGGTGTGTACGTCACCTTGCCATCTGGGGTGCAATGAATGTGTCAACAAGTAACTGCCTGGAACCTGCTGAAACTGACCCACATGAATGGAGAATCCAAGAGGGAAGCCCCAATTACCAGAATGTTCACACCTAGCAAACAACCAGAAAAGAGATTTTCCCTCACCTCTCAGCAGGGAAGCCAAGCCAAGGCCCCAATTTGAGAACAAAGGGAAAGGTGCTGGATGGTGGAGTTAAGTGCTCCCTTTGAAGAAACACAGGGCTCTCACCTGGGACTGAGAAAGGGGCAGAGAGAGAGCGAACGCACACGAGCAAGCCTGGAATGGAGGCCATAGCAGCTTGGCTGGCTGATCGCACTGTTTTAGCCAGATGGACTATGTCTTAACTTTTATTTCTCTATGCTAATCTAAGGACTTCCAATGCCATGTTTCAGTTGAATACCAAACACTACTCTGTTTGGAGGGCCGGCTTTGGTGAAAATGGTGCCCTAGGTGAACTTGTATTTTGGCGCCACCCCTCCCACCATCACCCCTGGCTCCTAGGGGCTCCTCCCACCCCCACCCCATCGCCATTCAATGTAGATTAGCGTCTCCCGTGGTCCATTGTGATTTATGTGTCCCTTGATGAACCACTTACTTTGACTAGTCCCTTCAAAATATACTGGCTAACTACCTTGTGGGCATTACTCCAGGAGCAGAAGAAAGGGTGGTACGGTATATGGTGTATTGCCACAGTTACTTCTGTGCTGCTGCGGTGGCTTGTGGTGCCTGGCGCTTGGCCTGCGCGTCAAGGCAGGCTTCACGCTGTCACATGGGGGCTGCATCTTGCCAGAGCCCACGGCCCTCCTGCAGCCCCTAGCCACTCCTGGCTCATCACAAGCATTGTGACAGGAAGTACCAAGCAGCAATAATAATAATGATACGTGTACGTGTACGTGTACGTGTGTGTGTGACAATCTGTCTTTCAAAAGGCAATGAACTTGGCCTTTCATTTCAAAACACAGCTACGGCCATTCTTTTCTTTAAAAATTAGATACGTTCAGATACAAATCAGTACTTTAACAAAGTCCAAAGAGCCAAGTAATGATGAAAAAGCAACATCATCAACTTGCAAGGCCCATGCACATTCTTATACTCCAACTGGCTAGTTAAACTGCAGGACAGTTCCGTGACAGCCATCCGTTTCTAAGCCAGACATCTTGACGGGGATCTTACACTCACCCCAGAGGTACTTCAGTATCTGCCCATCAGCCAGCTGCAGAGCTATTGCTCTGGTCTTCGGATTACAGCACAGGCTGATCACATCCCCATCCACAGGCATAGACAAACTAGAAAAAGTACATGAGAGAGAATGTTACAATGCTACAGTGGATAAGCATCCAGTGCACTGGACATGCCTCTACATTTAATGGGGTGGGAAGGGAGAGGCTAGCAGACACCGTTTCTGGTAGTACTAGCTGGAGGTGAATGGATAGATAACACATTAGTCTCCATAACAGCTCTCTGCAGAGTGATGTTAAACTTGCACCAATTCAATTAATACCGTGAAGAAGAGAGTAAAAGTCCTGGCCCCAGTCCCTCACTGGCCTCCACTGGCTTGGAACATGTGCCTGCCAGCAACACTTCACTGATCATGGGGCACTAAATTACTCACTCTCATCATGAGTCTTGGGATGTACAGATGGGCATGTTTTAACCCCCCTTCCCAGATGGCCAGAGAGCCTGCAAAGCTCACAGCTGTTGCACATTCAGACACAACTCAAACATGGTTCAAACTTGCCTACATCACAGGACTGCAACATGGGCACTGCCAGGTTTTAGTGGGCCCCCAAAGAAATGGATTTCTACAACATACCTGGGCAACCCAACACCCTTTGAATCTAGGAGCTTTAGTAGAAAGAGAACTCAGGCTAAACCCATCAGTAGGCAATGGGCACCACTACAAAACATGGAGCTTTCCCAGCAAGATACCTGGCTGTGGGGCTCACTGAGAGGTGCCTGGAGCATGCTGGGAAGGCAGAGGAGGTTGCAGCTATAGTCCTCTCATTGGTCAAAAGGAGCCATTACTAACTTTTATAGTAACTTGAGTTTTTTGAGATGTTTTGTCCCTATTGGCCTCTCAGAGTTGGTAAGACAACTCCCACCTGTTCATGCTCTCTGTAGGTGTGTATATATAACTCCTCAATATATGTTCCACTCTATATGCATCCAAAGAAGTGGACTGTAGCCCACGAAAGCTTATGCTCTAAATAAATTTGTTAGTCTCTAAGGTGCCGCAAGTACTCCTGTTCTTTTTGCGGATACAGACGAACACGGCTGCTACTCTGAAATTTGTCCCTACAGGTGCTCAACCATAGGATGCATGCGCTTGTGTGCTCTCAAAAGGAGAATGCAAAGCAGCCTCCCGTGCTTGTGCAAAGCAGCACCTCGTGTCCCCGCACGAGGGCATGTAAGGACATGTAATCTGCTACCAACTGGTTCCTTCTTGACTGTGAAGCACAGCTGAGGGGGAAGACGACAGGAGGTGGAGCACTCACAGGGACAAAACACCTTGAAAAATTCAAGTTACTGTAAGTTAAGTAAGCTCTCTGTGTATATGTCCCTATGAGTGCTCCCCCTTCAGAAACTCCCAAGAAGTAATTCAGTGAGAGATGGGTGCTCAGGAGGTAAGTCTAAGATGGTTTGGAGGACAGTGTCACCAAAGGCAGTATCATCCCTGGAAGGAGGAACAGCAGCATGATGCTTGGCAAAAGTATGGATGGAAGACCAAGTCTCAGCACTACAAATTTCTTATACAGGAATACCCTTTAGTAGAGCTATAGAAGTAGACAGAACTCTGGTGGAGTATGCTGTCACGCTGCAGGGGGGTTGCATCCCAGTATCTCTGTTCAGGCCATGATTTTTAGCAAATGTAACAGGAGGAAGCAGACCCCACTGGGGCTAGAGATGCTGCATTAGAAGGACCTTGAATCTAGCTCCTCTATCATTCCATGATCTGCCTGTACACACCTTACCTGTAGACAGGATGGGGGTGCCTCCAAGGCAGCAGAGGCAGTTTGAATGCGTCACTATGGGGAAAAGACCTGTGGCAGGTCTGGCAGGGTTTAAACCCCAAGGTCTTTGGCATAACCCAGGAGGTGGCAAGCCCAAGTAAAAGAGGAGAGAAGGGATTAGCTCCCTTCTAATCACAACTATAAAATAAACTAATTAGAACAAAATAACTTAGAAATGGAGAATTTGAAAGACTAATGGAATATCGAGAAAAGGCTGGAAGCCGTAGAATCAGCTGGATGCACAATTGCTCTGTCTTGAGCTTCAGGCAGTTGAGAAGGAACCGCATGGCGGCTGGTCCTTATATGCCCTTGTTAGGAGGCACGAGGCGCTGCTTTGTGCAAGCATAAGCCCAAAGACGCTGCTTTGCATTCTCTGGTTGAGCGTGCACAGGCACTCCTATGGTGGAGCACCCACAGGTGCAGATACTCAGAAAAGAAGCAGATATTCGGATCAAGCACCCATTCAATTTTACTGCCCCCAAGTGGTAAAGTTAATTCTGGTGGCTCAGCTGCCCCCCGGCATGAGCAGTGGGGACCCTCAAGTTGCTTGGACAGGCCACAGAATCCATTACAAACTACCAGCCGGGTGTGGCAGCAGTGGAAAATTCTTGGCTATTCCCAGAGTGGGGTGAAGCTCAGGGCTGAGAGGAAATGCTGGACTGGCATCCCTGAAGAGCCAAGTCCCCTATTTAGCTTCTTGTCTCCATGCCCTGAACGTGTCTGGCCCTGACCCAGTGGGAGCTCCCCTGGGAGAAGCATGGCACCACCTTGTGCTCCATACTCATTCAACAGCATCTCTGCCAAGACCCCAGTAATGTGCTGGCCCTAGGGGCAGAGGCCCCACATGGACTCTTGTATTACGGAGCCATTTCCAGCATCCCTGTCGCTGCAGCACACAGGTATCCAATCTGATGCAATACCTTTTGCCAAGAAATCCCCACGATGAGCCACAACATGTCAATGGTAGGGAGGAGCCTGATAGCACCCAGAGTTTACAGGGTGCACTGGCTCACCAGCAGGAGCCAGCCAGCACGTGTGCCACAAGCCCATCCCAGACCCCTGGAGCATAAGAACATAAAGAATGGCCATTCTGGGTCAGACTAAAGGTACATCTAGCCCAGTATCCTGTCCTCCAACAGTGTCTAATGCCAGGTGCCCCAGAAGGAATGAACAGAACAGGCAATCATCAAGTGATCCATCCCATTGCCCATTCCCAGCTTCTGGCAAACAGAAGCTAGGGACACCATCCCTGCCCACCCTGGCTAATAGCCATCGATGGACCTATCCTCCATAAACTTATCTAGTTTTTTTTGGAACCCTGTTATAGTCTTGGCCTTCACAACATCTTCTGGCAAGGTGTTCAACAGGTTGACTATGCGTTGTGTGACAAAATACTTCCTTTTGTTTGTTTTAAACCTGCTGCCTATTAATTTCATTTGGTGACCCCTAGTTCTTGTGTTATGAGAAGGAATAAATAACACTTCCTTATTTACTTTCTCCACACCAGTCAAGATTTTATAGACCTCTATCATATCCCCCCTTAGTCATCTCTTTTCCAAGCTGAAAAGTCCCAGTCTTATTACTCTCTCCTCATATGGCAGCCGTTTCATACCCCTAATTATTTTTGTTGCCCTTTTCTGAAACGTTTCCAATTCCAATATTTCTTTTTTGAGATGGGTCGAACACATCTTCACACAGTATTCAAGATGTGCGTGTACCATGGATTTATACAGAAGCAATATTATATTTTATATCTTATTATCTATAACTTTCTTAATGTTTTCCAACATTCTGTTAGCTTTTTTGAATGCCGCTGCACACTGAGTGGTTTTCAGAGAGCTATCCACAATGACTCCAAGATCTCTTTCTTGAGTGGTAACAGCCAATTTGGACCCCATCACTGTAGATGTATAGTTGGGATTATGTTTTCCAATGTGCATTACTTTGCATTTATCAACATTGAATTTCATCTGCTATTTTGTTGCCCAGTCACCCAGTTTTGTGAGATCCTTTTGTAGCTCTTTGCAGTCTGCCTGGGATTTAACGATCTTGAGTAGTTTTGTATCATCTGCAAATTTTGTCGCTTCACTGTTACCCCTTTTTCAAGATCATTTATGAATATGTTGAATAGGACTGGTGCCAATACAGACCCCTGCGGGACACCACTATTTACCTCTCTCCATTCTGAAAACTGACCATTTATTCCTACCCTTTGTTTCCTATCTTTTTACCAGTTACCAACCCATGAGAGGACCTTCCCTCTTATCCCATGACAGCTTAGAGGCCTTTATTCATTTCTAGAATTGCTTGCAAGTTTTCATAAGCAGCACAAGGAGTGTAAAGCTCCTTTCCAGTACCGGAGACGTAGGCACCCTCCCTCTGCCTCAAGACCTTCAGTCAGATGGTGGATGACAGAGTGCGTGGCAAGCTGCCCCTGGCTGACTGCCAAGAAGGTGTCATCCTGCAGCCAGGTGAAAAGCCGGAACGCCAGAGGATTCACCTGCTTGCCCTCGCCGCAGCACACCTCGACTCTGTACGATTGAAAGAGAGAGATTGAGAGTCAGTGTCAATGTGCCAGTGACACCCACCATCACTACCTGGAGAAGAGGGCCATCCCTGGCACTCCAGTCAGCAAGGGGATAGAAAAGGTTACTAACCTGTTCTGTAACTGTTGTTTTTCCAGACATGTTCCACATGTTCATTCTACTTCAGGCTTTGGTGTGCCCAGTGTGCAGCGTTGGAGATTTTTCCCTTAGCAGTACCTGTTGGAACAATGCATGTGCCCTCTGCCCCTTGAGCTGCTGAGCGATGGTATAAAGGGCAGAGTCACCCCTGACTCTCCATAGGGCCTTCTTAGTTGACAGACGGTGCTATAGAGGGGTAGGGGGATGGGACATAGAATGGACATGTGCAACACATCTCAAACAAGAGTTACAGAACAGGTTATTAACCATTTTTCTTCTCCGAGTGATTGTGCATAACCACTCCACTTCAAGTGATGCACACTTGGTGAATTCAAGTGATGAATTCAGAGGTGGGATTGGAGTCTATCTGAACAGTGATTGTACAACTACATGTCCAAACCTGGCATTGTCTCTAGAATGTTGAGATATGGCATAATGAGATGCAAATATATGTACTGATGACCAAGTTGCAGTTCTACAAATGTCCTGTAGAGGCACTTGAGTTAGATAAGCTTCAGAAGCTCTGCACCATCTCATCAAGTGTGCTACCATGCTATTTGGCAGAGTCACATTGGCAATGTGATAGCACAAACAGGAAATCAATGACAAGATTCTCTGAGTCGAGACTGGAGTACCCTTCATCCTGTCCATGACTGCCATAAACAGCTATGAGAATGATCTAGTTCTGTCCAAGTGAAAAGCTAATGCTCTCCTGACATCCAATATATGGGCACAAGGCTTAGGAAAGAAGGCTGGTAAGTATATTGCCTGATTAGTTTCTCACTTGATGTCACTTTGGTCAGAAACTTAAGATACGGGCACAAGTATACTTTTAAAAGCGTCCTTTTAAAAAATGTATATGGTGGGTCAGATACCAGGGCTTGTAATTTTCCTACTCACCTTGCAGAGGTAATTGCCACCAAAAAAGGCTACTTTAATTGAAAGACGAAGCAACAAACAGGTAGCCAGTGGTTCAAAGGGCAGACCCATCAGCCTTGTTAACATCTGATTTAAATCTAAAGGAGCGATACAATCATAGAATAGAATCATAGATTATAGAATATCAGGGTTGGAAGGGATCTCAGGAGGTCATCTAGTCCAACCCCCTGCTCAAAGCAGGACCAATTCCCAACTAAATCATCCCAGCCAGGGCTTTGTCAAGCCTGACCTTAAAAACCTCTAAGGAATCCTCTACTTGGGAATGATAACACTGCTCTACAGCCAAAATGCTTCTGAAATAAATGTAGTCAAACTTTACTAATTCTGGGTCACTGAGAACGAAAATGATGCTTAAAATTGTTGATTGGCTCTAGTTTTCAAGATATGCTATTGGGTCAGTATATACGACCCTTGACTTGGGAATGGCGGGGGATAAGTGAGTTATAAAGGGAAGGGATCTCAATTTAAACCAGAAATGACTAAAATACATCTTTGACTGGATCTATGAATAAATCTATGACTGGGTTTGGACAGTACTTGCTTTTTAGGCAAAACAATGAATGATGCAATCTGAAGCTGGTATTGCGTCATACATGATATGAATTGCATCATGTTATTCCTAGAAGTCATGGATGATGCAATCATAACGAAGCTTACATCACTCTGCTGAACAAATTGCCCTATATCAGCTCTAGAAATCATACAGTGTCGTGCTCTCTTATTTGTCAGTGCTTGATTTTGCAAAGGGACACATTTCTGTTTAGCCAAAGTGAGCAGAGATGCCTCATACTTGTTTGAACAGTGCAGATAACTTCTGCTATGTTTGTGGTGAAGTGACTTTTGCATCACAAAAGCTCAGTATAACCACTATGGTTAAGAAAGCCTATCACCTTTATTCTGGCTGCAAAATTGGAGATCAGGACAAGAGGTGGGCCCCACACATATGCTGCAACACTTGTGCAACAAATCTTCGCCAGTGGTTGAACAGGAAAAGGAAATCTATGCCTTTTGCAGTGCCAATGATTTGGAGCGAGCCAACAGCTCATACCAGCAATTGTTACTTCTGCATGGTGCCTCCAGTTGGGAAAGGTGTGTCAAAGAAGAAAAAGTGGACTGTGCATTATCCAAACATTCCATCAGCTACACGCCCAGTACCCCACGGAGAAGGACTGCACCAGAATCAGTCTCACTTGAGTCAGACGAGGAAGAGGAAGAGGATGAAACTTCTGGTCCTGAATCATCAATGTCACAGGACCCACATTTTCTCCCATCCTCCTCCTCTGAACCACGCCTCATAACACAAGGTGAACTGAATGACCTTGTCAGGGATTTGGAACTACCCAAGAGTAAGGCAGAGCTGTTGGGCTCCAGACTACAGCAGTGGAATCTCCTGGCAGGTGATGTTAGGGTTTCCATGTTCCGTGACCGTCAAAAGGATCTTGTCCCATTCTTCTTCATGGAAGGTGATCTTGTAGCCTGCAACAACATCGATGGTGTGATGGCAGCCCTCAACATCGTTCACGATCCAGATGAGTGGAGACTGTTCATTGATTCATTGAAGACGAGTCTTAAAGCTGTTTTACTGCATAACGACAATGTTTTGCCATCAATTCCAGTTGGTCATGCAGTCCATATGAAGGAAACCTATGACAACATGAAACAACTTTTGAGGTGCATAAACTATGACCAACATCAGTGGCAGCTTTGTGGCGATTTGAAGGTTATTGCTCTCTTGCTTGGTCTGCAGACTAGATACACAAAGTACTGCTGTTTTCTCTGCGAATGAGATAGTCGTGCAAGAGATTCCCACTACATCAAGAAAGATTGGCCACTCTGACAGTCATTGGAGCCTGGGAGGAAAAGTGTTCAGCATCCACCACTTGTTGAATCAAGGAAGATTTTGTTACCACCCTTACACATCAAGCTGGGTCTGATGAAGAACTTTGTCAAGGCCATTGACAAAACACAAGCAGCTTTCAAGTACCTCCATGGAAAATTTCCAAGGTTAAGTGAAGCTAAGATAAAGGAAGGTGTCTTTGTTGGTCCTCAGATTCGTGAACTTCTTCGAGATGATGCATTTGACCATGGACTGCGTGGCAAGGAAAAGACGGCATGGAAAGCCTTCCGAGTTAGTGGCAATAAATTTTCTCAGAAACAACAAGGCAGACAACTACAGGTTGTTGGTGGAAAACCTCCTCAAGGCATACAAAAGCCTTGGTTGCAACATGTCACTAGAGATACATTTTTTGCACTCTCATCCAGATTTTTTTCTACCAAACTGCGGAGCAGTGAGCGACGAGCACGGCGAGCGATTTCACCAGGACATTGCAACAATGGAGAAACGCTATCAGGGCAAATGGAGCCCATCAATGCTTGCAGACTATTGCTGGACAGTGACAAGAGATGCTCCATTTAATGAATACAAGAGACAAGCCAAAAAGCGCCGAGTAGACACTGAATAGGACTAAACTATGTACATAATAGTTTTTTGCCTTTTGTTTCATAATAAATTTTATTTATATAACCCTTTTGCTGATTTTTAAAGTGTTACATAAACAGGACAGGTGAAATATTATCATGTAAAGCAACCATAAACACATGAAAAGACCTAGGTTTACAATTTATGATTAAAACTCTACTATCTACACAATATACATAGACATAAAATGTAAAAACTTAAATATCTTAGAAACAGTAGCCAATCAGTTGTTTTAATTGTCATATTTGAATTCAGCACATCAAAATACATAATAAATAGCACATTTTATCTCTGAAGCAGACGACTTCTCAAAAATTGTAGACCAGTGTAACCAGGCCAGACTCTTCAAGAATTTGAGTGACATCAGACTAGAAAAAACGGAGTGATTAGCAATTGAAGGGTAGAAAGCAGAGATAGCTGCTAGGTGAGCCCTGATGGAACTAACAGAAAGACTTTGTTGTTTCAGATAGAAGAAATCGTCCAGAATATGCTGTATAAGAACCCAGCCTGGAGAAACCCCTTCTGTTGAGACCACAGGGAGAATCATTTCAACTTTAACAGGTAAATATACCAAGAAGATCATTTTTGGCTATTCAAGAGGTTGTTTTGCACATCCCTTGAAGAGACTTCCTCCTGGGGTGTTACAGCCTGCACGCTCCATGGTTACGATGAAGAGCAACTGGCACGGGATGAAGGTGGTGACCATGGTCCTGTGAAACAGGTCTGCTTCTGGAAGCAATGTCAATGGAGTCCTGATTGAGAGACTCAGCAGAGCGGAAAACCAATGCTGGCAAGGCCACGCCAGTGCTAGGAGGATCATGCGAGTATAATGCTGCTTGACTTTTAACACCCTGGGGAGGAGTGGAACCAGAGGGGAACCATAGATGAATTTTGTCTTTCCAAGGCAACAGGAAAGCGTCTGTCAGAGACACTGGACTGTGACCTACTCTTGAACAAAACTGCTGACGCTTTATGAGTTGACTTACAAAGAGGTCTATGTGGGGAAACCCCAGGCTTAAAATAGGACTCTGACTATATCAGGCTGGAGAGACCACTTGTGATGACTAATTAGCAAAGATCTGCTCAAGCGGTCTGCTGGAATGTTCCGGACAACCGGATGGCAGGAGACTTTGAGGTGAATCTCTGTGTTCCAAACGCCCAAAGGTGTATCTCCTCTTGGCATAAAAGACAAGATACGGCCCCTCCCTGTCTGTTCATGTAGAACATCTCTACTAGTTCTTACAGACAACACAGAAAATTCCTTCCCTTGATGTGGGGCAGGAAAGTGTGACAAGCTAGATCAGAGGTGGGCAAACTATGGCCCAGGGGCCGCATCTGGCCCTTCAGACAGTTTAATCTGGCCCTCGAGCTCCCGTTGGGGAGCGGGGTTCCAGGGCTTGCCCCACTCCGGCGCTCCAGCCGGGAAGCA